AAATAAATAAAAATTCATCTAACTCTTACATAAATTTACAACCAGTGAAAAAACGACAAAATTAATGTTAAGAAAGCAGATTATGGAGTGTAGACAATTGTAGAAAACTCGTTAAGACCGCATTTGATCCATAAATGTAATTTCTCCATACCACGTATTAGAAAAAATTAGCATAATAGAGAAAGAGGCCGATAAGTTAGCTTATAGAAGAATTTTATATTTATACTACATGTTACTTCTTGAATTTGTTAGATAAATAGCGAAGCAGATTCGAATGATTTATTTATTTCAGTAAGGGTTAAGACAATTTGTCGATGAGATTTAATCTTTTTGTCTTTACTCACTTTAATATATTATGTGTACTTTAGGTATGGTTAAGTCTTAGCCAGTGCTTAAAATTCCTTTTCTTGGAATTCAATATGATATGATGGTTTTTTTCTKTTGTAGAGTATGGTATCAAAGCCATTAAAATATTGGTTATTTATTTATATTTTAACAATGGTATGTTTTATAATTTTTTTAATATGTAAATTAACTCATTAGTGTGCTTGATTTTATAAATATGCATTTTTGTTCATTTTCTTCATACGTACAAATCAATACTTGATGTTTAAMGCTATGCTTATATTTTACTTTAGAAATTCCATTGTACATTCTATATTATTAAATTAATAAATGATTACAATATTTACAAAATTATAATATTTTTTCAATGCAATTACTCGTTTATCGACCATTAATAAAAAAAAAAACATTTTAATTTTTTGGTTATATTATCTATATTATTATATGTATATACATGTCACTGCAGGTATATAAACACAAATTTTATATTAGACTACTGACGTGTATACACTACACACAGTGGCTCAATATTTCAAACTATTTTTTTTTTCAGCGTTGTCTTGAGTGAATAAAAAAAAATTTATATATTTTCTATCTTTCTTATTACTTATTGTTCCAGACTTAATTCTAAAGGACATTTATCAAAGTCACACGCAGAGCGTATTTACTATTAGAGCTGCCCTCAGGCTAATCCACAAGTTACAACTGATCTTAAACAATAAATTATTTTTCTACGCTTTATTTATAAAATACAATTCTCTAATTTTTTCGTTTATTATAATTATAATGTATTGGTTTATTACCTATGTTATCATGCGATATTGCAGTTACAAATAGGTATAATAAGTATATAACTAATTTTATTCTTGATAATTTAGTTTTTGCATATAATTAAAAAAATTCGCCGTTTATTAACTAAGTAAACGATAAAAAATGTATGATTGAAAAACAGTCACTAAACATAATGCCTTAATCTACTAATTTTTAAAAATATTCTTAATTTTGCTTTGAATGCATGATGAAATCGTAAACAGTAAATATAGTTTTTTTTTTACAAGACAAAAGTGTTACCCACCCTAATTTTCTAAATACCAACACGGTATGAATAATATAATAATAGTATCATGTATAAACATGATAAAACATTTTTATATAATTTATTGTAAACCATTATTTATTGAACAAAAATCTCATAGTATATAGTATTATTCTGTGATAATTAAATTATGCTTCGAGGAAACTTATAATTCCACAAAATTGACCTAAAGGCTTCGCGGACACATTCAAATTTAATATTATTAACTTTATTTTAATGATTGGGAAGACTTATTTTTTTTTTTTAAATTATTATTATTGATATTCCTACTATTTGGGGTGCCTTTGATTTTTCTAGTAGTCAACTCTAATATAAACAAAAAAGTTTGGAAATCAATGCTAATTATGTACTATACATCAAAAACAGATTGAATAGAGTTTATTATGTGAAATTCACTGCAATATTAGCCAAACAGGTAATCAGTAATCACTAGTCACCAACTGCATATTATTTTATTTTAAACATCTCATTAGAATATTAGATCACAGAAGTAATTTTTTTTTTAAGCTAGAAAATTGTACAATCTGTAAAATATTGATTAACAATAAGCATAAGTGATTTAAGAATTAGATAGAAAAGATAAAGTAACAAACAATAAGTTAAATTAAATTACAATTGTTTAGTTCAGTTCTGAGGGTCATCCATTGATGGTACTTTTTGATATTTTTTATTTAAGGTAAAATAAACCATAGTACAAATCCGTGTTGATCATTTTTCAGTCCCTGTGAATACTCCGTTGTTGATTCCATACTGTTTTTATTTAAATGTAATACCATTCTAAATAAATTCATCATCAAAATGAACTTCTAWTTTAGGTTATACACTTATATACAGGGTACTTTAGGGTTAAAATTAAAGGATCTATTTAATGCATTAAAAAATATAATATCATTTAATTGCAATGGTCAAAAGTCAAATATGTTTATTACGCAAGCGCATATATTTTTGTGTGTGTGTGATGTGTATGTGTATACAGTTATGCACAATGACATATCTCTATTCTATAGCAAATATAATTTGATATTCAGAATAGCTTTCCTTACAGATCAGGGATACTGGTAAGGATGTTATATATGGATAGACCTCTCAATATATCATTCGGTTCTACAAAACCCACTATTATTCGGTATCCTTTCTTAAACCCAATCACTATATATCACCCAAACAGTTCAATGTAATAGCTGTCCAGAAAAATGTTTAGAACCATGTGTCTGATAAATAGAAATCAATTTAAAATACTTACCAATATTAAAATTGGAAGATTATTAAATAATTTACCTACGTGATATTTTTTTTTTTCATGGTGTTTCCTTAAAAGAGTATCTTTTAGATGTATAATTATTAATTAATATTTAATAATTATTAATTATTAATTAATATTGAAAGCCGGAATATTGTTAAAAAAAATATCGAAAAATCACAATTTCACCATAATGTGTACAGTATTGAGTAACTATTATTGTTTATAAGTAAAACAACTATATAATTTTAAAAAAATCATTCATTTTAAAATTGTATTTTTATCAAAATTACTTACCAGTATAGTACATTGAATGCATATATTTTGTTTTATTATTATGTTATAGTGACATTAGCGTTGAAAATAATCGATGTACTTGTGCCAAGATACGCGGACTTAAAACAGTCAGTAATACTTGGATGCAATTTCGACGTTGGTCATGGTAAATTATACTCCGTTAAGTGGTACAAAGATGATCACGAATTCTACAGGTTTGTTCCAGAGGATCGACCAACCATCCAAGTGTTTCATCTTCCTGGTATTATATTGGATGTTAGTATTTTTTTCATTTAAAATCACTTAAACAATTGGTAACATGTACTGTATACACTATAAATTAATATAAATATTTATTACATCATAAAAATTTAATAAAGGGTTAATAATATTGAAAAGAAACATAATATTAAATTATACCTGCTTAAATAACTTATGTTATATTCTTATAATAATGAAAAAAAAAAGCAGACGTTATAGCTTCATGAAATATACTAACTAAATTTATTTCAAAAAGAAGAAAAATGTATAAATTTGTTTTTCTAATTAATATTAATTAAATTAAATTATGCCTATCAAATTTCCATTAGTATTAATTATATTCATTGAAGGATTAGTAAAAATATAATTCAAAAAACATAAATTTGAGTAGGTTAATACAATAAAAATTGATATTTAGTTTTACAATTTTATTCTTATTATTGTATAATAAAAATAAAACAGAGATATTTTATATAATTATTGAGAAATGATCATAATTCCTACTCATAAACAAAAATGAAGCTAGTTGTTTGTATAGTTGATAATTAGTTAAGAGATAAATATTAAAAAGTCATTTAATTACTTAAATGTTAATCGTTTAAATTCTTTCTCTTTTAAATAAAATGATATACGATTTAATTTAAAAATCTAATAGTTACCAAATTAATAATATAAACCAATGTATTCATATCTAATAATCAAATAAGGTATATCATCTAGAAATTCTAAAGCATTATTAATATTATATATATATACAGAACACAAGTATAAAAATAAACTAAATACTGACAAAAAATTATTTAATTATACATATATAAGTATATGTAAAAAAATTATTTTTAATTAAAAATTGTAATGTCACATTTGTTACGGAAAAATTAAAATAAATACAAACGTCATATTTTTATTCTAAAATACTTAAATCTTTATTGAACAATTAACGTTTGAAAAAATATAAAATAAATAAATGTTTGTTTGATAATTGTATTTCAATCACTTACAATAAAACCGGTAATATAGTGTTTATCACAAAACAATCTAAATGTGGTAAATAATTCTTTTGAATTTTTGAAAAGTATTTGCTTTTAAAATATAAATAAATCTTAGATAGTGTTTTTTTCATTTTTCAAATTTTTATTGTTTCAACATATCTTTGTTTTTACAATGTTCTTTTTTTAAGAAGGTAATTTAAAAAATAAAAATATATTTTTTTAAAGTAATACACTAACAAATTAACGCAAACTAGAATAAATTAAAAAATGAACATAGCTAAATATAAAAATAAACGAAAATTTTATGTACTTACCTAATATTATGATAGTAATAATAATACAATGGTACAATGGTTAACAATATATTCTTCTCAGTACGTGTTCCGCACGCGTCTGAGCAACACGCGTGTGTTATCCTATCGTAAGTGCGCTTTTATAGCTTCGATAGCCAACAGAGCGACGTCGATTTGCAACGATATCAGGTATAATAAAATTAACAATTAGTGATATAATACACTGGCATTCTCAATTTCGAAATGAAAAAAAACCTCCCTAGCACAATGACCACCTCATCAAACCCCAATAGAACCAACACTCTGTACTCTATAACTAACTCTATAGGAGAACAAAAACACCCACGACTATTAACAGTTCAAAAATTCCCACAACTCCTTCATTTAAAAGTAATAAGTCAACCTTAAATATCTCATTAACCGCGTGAAGCGCAATCGCGACGAATATTTTTGAATAAGAAAGAAATACTTGAATCACTTTTGGCTAAAACTCCAGTAATCGTAATAAATGGACACGAAATACAATTACACAGGCTGTTAAATCCATMAAAACATTTAGTTATTTCTAATGTTTGGCCGTCCATATTTAAAGGACCATAACACTCAAAAAAATAAGTCTATCTTAAAATATAGTATCAAGTGAAATAAAAACAGAGATACCATTAAAATATGTTAACAACTATTATTTAGCCTGCGGCAGTCATTTGAAAAATACGCGTGACGTCATAATTTCGCCGCCGCCGATTACTCTGTAGTCTGTACACGAATACGAGGGTAAATGCGAGTCTCGCTATTTAAACGCTTATAACTCGGCTAATACTCATTTAATGAGGTAGACCTTTATAATAAATTAAAGTTCAAAAATGTATCTTTCATTTCATGTAGTTTACAATAATATGTTAATTAAGTGATTTAATTAAAAATACTGATATGAACACAAACACATAAAAGTATAATGTTACTAACTACACCTAAATATTAAAATAAGTTATTATCACTCGTCTAAAAATAATTTTGAGCATATTTTATTGTACACATAGACACAATAATAAACAAACATAACATTATTCATATATTGAACACGAACGTATGGTATAACACAAAAAATAAAAAAATAAAAGAACGTATGGTATAGACACGCGCGTACGTAAGTATAGACACGAACAAATCTAAAAATACAAAAATATTTCTAAGAATGTTTATCATTCGTTTATAAATAAACCGTTTAATAATTCTACTGTAAAATAATATTAAATTACAAATTTAGGTTTAAATCTATAMATTATTATAAAGGTCTACATCGATAAATTGAGTATTGGCCGAGTTATAAGCGTTTAAACGGCGAGTATCGTAATATTCCCGTAAAAGCGTGTAAGCGGCGCGTGGCAGCGGCGAAATTATGTTGTCACGCGTATTTTTCAAATACCCATAACTTCCTAAATATTGGACGCAAACAGTATCAATATTCTTTGATGATTTAGTTATATTTAATAAAAATTAAAAAAAAAATGTTTTTTCTTAAGTTGTGTAGTTCTAACACAACAATCCCGCAAGCGCTCCAAAACTTAGATATCATACCCGCATCTCAAATTAATCACCCCAAAGCCGGAATTAACATCGAGGGATACGAACACATTCTAAATTTTCACAGACAGGTACTTTCAAGCATGAAGACATATAAAAACTCCACGGGTCATTGATCTTAAACCATAATCAATCCAACTTTAGAATTTTTTCACAATTTTTACACAATAACTTGCTGTTGCTATACATGCCACAAAAACCGGACACACCTCCAATACCTGAAAAAAATATTTTCTAAATGGACTAAACTCACAACTGACGCATGATTATTGCCCATCAGTACTTCTAGAAAATACATCAGAAAAAATTACCTAAAAAGCTGAAACCATCCTACCTCTTCAACTTACCCAGATAGACCTAATGGCTGATAATACACTCATGGACTGGTTAGAAGAGACCACCATCCCGACAGATATAGCGATAACCTATATAGCGATAATCCTTTCAAAACATCGGGGAATCCTCAGTTAACACCTCAGAATCCAACTGAAATGACAAAAACAAAAGACCTTAATCGAAAACGACCTCATCACCAAAGTCTCCCACCACGAGTGACACTTCAACCCCCCCTCTCCTACTATCAACAATAATCCTAGCAAAAAAACCTAAAATAAGCTCTCATTCAAACTCTTTTCCACAAGCAGAAAATAGCCAGATAGCTGACACTTTGAAATCAGCAGAAAGTCTCTTCCTTAACACCAACAATGACTCAATCTCACTTTTGCAATTTCAGTATTCTTCTTCTTCTTCTTCTTCTTCTTCTTCTTCTTCTTTCTGGGCTTTTACAGGCCTTTAAGGCCCATCGCCGCAACAACATATTGTTTCCATTCTTATCTATCATTTGCACATTCTTCTGCGTTTCTTACGTTCAGGAGTTTCAAGTCTTCCTTCACTCTATCCACCCATCTTTGTCTGGGGCGTCCTCAAGGCCTCTTAGTGTCGGATTTCCATTTAGTTATTGATCCAATCATTCCTTCTGACCTCCATACATGTCCCGCCCAACTTATCCTCGTACTCTTCAGGGACCCAACAATTGTAGGTTCCTTGTATAAATCATCCAGTTCCCTGTTGCCTCTCACCTCATACTCTCCATCGTTATTTCTCTTTGGACCGAAGATTTTCCTTAATATCTTTCTTTCGAAAACTTCTAACTTTCCTTCGTCCGATTTTGTCTTGGCCCATGTACTACATGTATACAGGGCAACCGGTTTGACTATAACTTTGTATAACGTTGTTTTAGACTTTATTGATAGTAATTTTGATTTGAAGAGTAGCATTAGACTATAGTAGCATCTATTTGCTGCTGTAATTCGCTTTTTAACTTCTTCGTGGCTATTAGCATTTTCATTGATCTCTGCGCCCAGGTATTTGAAGCTCTGTACCCTTTCAAATTTGTAATCATCAACTTTTAAATAGCTAATATTGTGATTTATTCTCGATAGTTGTTCATTGTTGTTCGTTTTTATTCCTTTGGCTTGGGTTAATACCTTTCGTATAACTGATTCTAATGTGATATTAAACAAAGCTGGCGATAGAGCGTCTCCCTGTCTGAGTCCGGTCGTCACTAGGAACTCATCTGATACCTCTCCTCAAAAACTTACTTTACTTTTGGACTCATATGCACACGCTCTTATCATTCTGACTAATTTTGCTGGTATTCCCATTTTGTTCATGACATTCCATAGTTTTTCGCTATTAATCGAATCGTATGCTGCTTTGTAATCTATGAACATAAGGTGGATGTCTTTATTGAACTCGTGCCTCTTTTCAGCTAATTGTTTGATGATGTGGATTTAATCGAATGTTGATCTCMCTATCATGAACCCAGCTTGATGTTCTCCTATTATTTCTTTAATATATGAATTGTTTCTGATCAGAAGAATGTTAAATAGAATCTTATAAGTTGTGTTTTGCAATTTTAGTATATAATCAAAAATTTTACAATCAAATCTCTTAACATACACTCTCTAGGCAAACAAGTAAACTTCGATATTCCTACCGTCGTAGATTTATATAACGGAAACAATTTGGCCAAAAATAACGGATAGCAGAATGAAGTCCAAGCTTATAAAACTATCCAATCTTCTCTTCCAAAGATTGCCGCCCCCTGATAGTATTTAAAAACCTACATATCTAATACTAGTTTAACAAATTTYCACAATACTCCAATGGAACCTTGAATGGGTTTTTCAAAAAACTCGACGAATTGAAAATTATTATATCAGAAACCCAACCCGAAATAATATGTTTGCAAGAAACTAACTTTAAATATGATATCACAGAAAAACTATCTAACTACAATGGACATGGTAAATACCGAGTCGATGGAAAGAGCAAGTGGAAGAGTAACAATATACATTAAAACTGAATACCCCTGTAAAACTATCATTTTAAATACGCAACTCGTAGTCATAGTAGTAATAGTAAAGATAAGACACTTAAAAATTAACGTACGCAATTTTTATACGAGTATACCCAATCAACACGACTTCGCTCAAAATGACATTGAAAATATTCAAACCAATTACCTTCTCCTTTTATTATTACTGGAGATTTTAAAAGTCATAACAGCAGATGGGGATCTAAGACTACCGATAATTCATTCCAACGCCTAAACTATGCCTCCGCATGATTAGAAGTCCTAGGAACACCATTGTCGATACATTTATGATATAATATAGAGTATTAGACAAACTTTATAAATAATTGAAAATTATTAAATACAGCATTATAGGCACCAATGTTTTCCTAAATTGACCACAATGTTGGAGGAAAAAGTGGAGGGTTTCTATGTTCGGTGTTGCGCACTATACGACGGATTTTACCTAATGCATAATTGTCTTCAAACCACTGTACAAAAGTGCTTGCATTGTTAGGCATAATTTCTTTAATCTCTTTGAATGCATCAGGAATTTTCTCTTCGGGCAAAAATGCAAGAGACAACATTTGCCGAACTTTGATGCTGAAATTTTCATTATTTCTATACTCAATGGATAGCCCAAGACCTTATAATTTTCGCCTCGCACTTTGGCATAAATGAAATAAACAACCTTTACTTTTGGACAACGGAAACTCATGTTTGCTCTCGTTGGTTGCAGCCATCTCATAGTCACTTATTATGTATTCAGGAGCTAAGTTAATACTATTGTATTCAGAAAAATCAATTATATCCTAAAAAAAAATAAAAACTATTAAAATATAATATTGCTATTAAAAAACGAAGCACATTAGTAAATAAAATGTTGTATTTTCGTTATTACCTAATACATCTGACTGTTACATTGCTCTCTTTTGCTTGTCATAAGAACACACACTAGAGGCAAAACCCTAGAATTGTCACCGTAGCGAACTTGGGCGTGAATTGTATATAATTGTTTGAAAATAGTACCTAGGCACTGTTTCAAAAGTACCATCAACTATCCAAAACATTGATTGACTGAGTTTTTGAATGTTGCTTACAGTAGAAAATACAAGTATCTTATCTTCACAAAAAATCAATAGAAAATAAAACTAAATTTAGATTACATAATTATTATGAAAATAATTAACACACATATTGTTGATTTTTTAATGAGAAATGGTTGATTAGATAGTGTTTTTTTGGGGTAGGGTAAGTGTTGGCCGAAAAGTGAAACTGGCCGAAAACGGAATGGTACATTTTGGCCGAAAACGGTGACGCCCGTTTTTTTCAGATCAGCTGGTATATTGAGCCCATCAATATAATTTAAAATATAAATATATGACATAAATTCCCGATTAAATTATATTATTTAAAGACGATTTTTTTTTATTAGGTATTATTAAATATTACCTATTACTATACAATATTTATAAAAATCTTTTTAAAATAAGTGAAATTAAATTAATATGTGCTTATAATATTAATGTCGGTATTTTGGTTGTCGGTCGATTGACCTTATCGGTTGATTGTCTTGTCAGTCAATTGTCCTGTCGGTCGATTGACCCAAAACCATATATAATATATATGTATATGGGCAAATGGTACTTCCTTTGATGCTAAGCATTTAGCTGCCTATACGGCTAATTATTCTGAGTCATGCATGATTTCTTTAAAATATTCACAATAATGCGAATCAATTTTTCCTGAGAAATCTAATAAATTGCGTTTCGTACACATTTTTACTGTGACCATATTAATGATTATGCAGATTGTTTTACTTACTCATAATATTAATTGTAGATAACTTTAATAACTGTATAACTAAAATATAAACTTAACAGAAAAAAACCGTTTTATTATTTTTTTCGAAACAATACTACCTGATCAATAATCACACTCTAAACAGTTTATAGAAATGGTAAAACAAAATATGTATTCATATAAAAATAACAAATTATTTGTAAAGTTATATTTGAAAATTAAATCAAATTAAATAATATTTTAAAATATTGTATATATTTTAATTTATAATTATAAAATTGGTTTCATACTAAAATATAAATTGAACAGCAAAAAAAAAACAGTTTTATTATTTTTATTATAACAATATTACTTAATCAATTGAAAATAATATAGTTGTCAATAATGTAATCTTAACCCAATGAAATAAAAATTTTGTAACCCAATGGCCTATGTCACCGAGGGTATATTTCGTTTGATAAAAAAAAAATAATAAAAAAAACTACTTAATCAATAAACAAATTACATATTATATACAGTTTATATGAAAAATATTGAAATGGTTGAACAAATATATATTCATATAAAAATAATAAATAATTTGTAAAGTTATATTTGAAAATTAAATCTAATTTAATCATAATTTAAAATATTGTATATATTTTAATTTATAACTATAAAATTAATATCATTTTAATTAAGTTCTTAGAGAATTATTAAAAAAGACACGTATTGTGTTTAGTAATAAAAATATATTAGGTACGTTTTAAAGACATTTTTTACTTTGTACTTTTAATACCTTTTGTATATACTGTATCTACTTTTATTTCTTTTTTGCATTTCTATTTTATTATTTATTCTGTAGTTCTAAAATAAATTATAACATTTTCTGTTTGATAATAATATAGGTAATCATTGGAGAAAAGGCATCACTAGAAATTTAAATAATAAAACCAATAATTTTTCACATAATTATGAAGCTATAACACATTAATAATATAATATGCCATTTTAATTTCTTTACTCAAATAATAAGTCTAAATAACTAAAAATTTTCATTTCACTTTGATCATAAAAGTTTTTATACATTTTCATTTATAAAGGTAAATTTAAAGCATAATCTAACCAATTTATATAGCCATTTTATACGAGATCAGGTACTAATTTTTATTTTTATTCAAGCCAATTTACAGGTAGTAGATTACAGTTATTTCTCATTTAGGTGAATAATATTTTTTTGTCCATGATATAACCATGATATAAATATAATTAATAATGCTATGTTTTTGTAGTTATCTCATTGTAACATGCGAAAAATCACACTAAGTAATCTCACGTTACAAACTAGTGGTGTTTATCGATGTGAAGTCTCAACAGATGGACCAAAATTTGAAATGGTTTTTAAGTCCGCAAACATGAATGTATTAGGTAAATATTAAAACATATCAATAAATTACATTTTTTTTTAAATAAAGATTACGATACAAATATTTTTAAGACTATACTATGTACCTATAGAAAATGCTAATATTAACATTTGGAGAAAATATTAAGAATCTATATAGCTGTTTGTTTTTGATTTACAATAAATTCGAATTTGTACGAAAMTGGTTTTGGGTTTTACATAAAAAATCCCGTTTATCCATAATTTTTTTCGTTTTTTCGTTTAGTAATATTTTTAAAAAGGTACTAAGAATTTTTGCTCTTGACATAAAGTTAAAAACATTTTTCAAAAATTGTATTTTAAGAAGCGCTTACTCAGTGATTGGTTGGCTGACGAAAAACTGTAACTGAAAATAAAATAGTTATAATTATTGATATAATTTTAGATACCTATGCATTTTATGTTTGGTCAAAACCACCCAAATAACTAAGTTAAAAAAGTTTAAGGACTCACAAGTTTAAGCACATAAATTCATTGGCATTATTAAATTTATCACCGGAAACCCAGTACATGATCAGTGAGCGTAAAAGCTATATGTACGGTGACCAGACGWACTTATTTTATAAGGACAGTACTGTTTTTTGGTAACATGTCCTACTGTCCTAAATAAATGGTCGAAGTATACTTAAATGTACTTATTTTTAATAATTTAATAATTGTAAATGGAAAAAAAATTACCTAAATTCAAATTTAAAGGATTTAAAAAAATGCTGTCATCAAAAAAAAAGTTTTAATAGGTACCGTGATATAGTGTTAATATTGTAATCACGGCTTTAGATACTATCTAATAATAATATAAATATAATAATAATAATCTAAGTTCTAAAGTTGTCTTTTATTAAGTATTTATTATTATAAGTCTTGTTTTTCATGAAAATCACATAATGAGTAGAGTTACCTATATATAAAAACACATATTTTATTTTTCACCGTTAGTGAGATTAAAAATCTGTGATGCATATTTATGTTTAAAAATAAATAAATGAGTTTAAATTAATATTTTATTGTTATGTAATTATATTGATATATATATACACATAATGTATTAGCCTATATTATAATGTACTGTTTTTTCTCTTTTAATATCTGGTCACCATAGCTATATGTTACTGGCTTTCCGTAAAATTGTTGGTAAGAATGTCTAATATTACGATACCGGATAGGCATATGCAGTTAGAGTATTATAATCTTATTATATATTAATATTATAACAATATACGCAAAAGTTTCAAATAATCTCACAAAAACAATCATTATTCTTTGTTAAAATATCTAATTTCGACCAAAGTAGGATTAAAAATGCCAAAAAAAATTATGTTATTTTATCTTTTAGTTCCTTTGGTTGAAGTACGAACTACTTATGAAGAACATTATTTTATATTGTCAAGTTTTAGGTGTAAAAATTTTAAACCAATGTATAATCTTATAACTATAACATAATTTAACAATTTTATTGTATACCTATTTGATTTCCATTTTAGTTAAACAGTATTTAAAATATTATTGTTTACAAGTAGCTATATATGCCTATATATGTACAAATAACATCAAAAGATCCATACACAACAATGATTGATATAATAATAAATAATGTTATTGACAGCATATCCGGAAGGGAACCCTTTGATAGAGGGTGTACTTAATCGTTATGCGGTTGGCGATCTTTTGTCGGGAAATTGCACGTCCTCCAAATCTTATCCGCAACCGTTGATGACATGGTACGTCAATGGCGTTCAAGTGAGTTCATAAATATTAGTAGAAAATTAAAATCTTAAGCTTAAATTAGCTTAATTTTAATCGACGTCATAATATGACCATTAAACTACATTTTCTAAATAATTCAAAGTAAATATTATCAATTTATAAAAACTAATATAGTCATGATTAAATCATCATAGGTATTAAAATTTACATCAAAATATCCTCATGATACATGAAAATATATAATTTTTTTTTATTTATTACAGAATTTTTTGCAAACATTTATACATCTTAACACTTTTAAGTWGCAACTTGATAATTTATATAAAAATAATAATAATAATAATATTTTAAATAAACAAAATATAAGTATTTTTACGAACTGTGATCTGATCTAATTTGTGTATGATAAGTACATTTGATAAACTTTAATATATAACAACATGAAATAATACAAGGACGRAGACCCACAGTTTGATGCCTCAGACTTAAGGGGAAAAGACAGGAAAGAGTTTTTGATTTATTCAAAAGAGATCAGAATTTAAAAGATCCCAAAACCAGTGTCTTTTTAAACGGCATAGAAGGATTTCCAGGAATGTATTCACTGGTCAAAGTAGAAACTAGTGGATTTTTATGTTTGTTTGATTTGGTATGGATATTTTTGTATGGTTCTAGCTGTGGAAGAAACTGTTTCGATTTTAAGCCTTCGTGCAGTGAGAGATTTGAGACGCATGATGGCGCAGATGTAAGATGTTATTTGATGAAGGAAAATCGATTGAAGTGCCTGAATGGTTCGTATTTTGGTAGCCTTAGCACATTTCCATATTTGAATGCCCTATAAGCTCAGATAAGTTTTATAATTGAATAGTATATTAATAATTTATTGTTAGGTAATTAAAAGTTTTTATTTGAGAATTTGGCGTATAAAATAAAGTCTGGTGTTTAGCACCTTTCTTTTGGTTTTTTAATGCAGTCTATACTCTATAATATAATATGTTAGAGCAGTGTAAAATTAGACCTGAATATAATTCAATTTCAATTTCAACTTCAATTGTTACAAAAATATCAAATATTTCTGGATAGTATTCATTTGGGTAAACCTAGATTAATTTTAATATAAATATAATATCATGTGTAAAGTTGTCAGTATAAAGTTTAACGTGATGTCATAAATAAATATGGAGTACCTACAAATTCCTACATCGTCCAAAAATTATGTTTAAACATTGTTGAACACCTTTTGGACAAGTTCTACTAACATTAATTGTAATTCCAACTTCACTTCCCTAATTTATTTAAGATTATATTAGACATTCCCTATACGCCAAAATGTATGGGTTATGAGTTATATTATGACAAAGAATAAGTGAATGAATCGTACATAAAATAATTGTAGGTATAGACATTTATTAAGTTGACTGACAATTACCTATTTTATGATTACAAAAAAGCGTTTGGACACAAAATAATGTGAGGCAATTGAGAATGATGTTGCTAAGTTAATTATAAATGACTTCAATCATATTGAATAGAAAGGTTTAAGGCAGATAATAAAGAAAATAATTATTAAAATCAGATTAAAATATTATCCTTATTGCTATATTATTAGGGGTCACCGAATTAGATATCCATTGATCATGGATATGTAATGATCAAAAATGTATTATTATAGTAATTAAATAATTTATTAACTATAATATGATCACGATTTAAGGTAACACTAAATATCTCAGGTTAGGTTTTTTGGGAGGTGATAGGGAGTACCTAAATACATGTTTTCATATAAATTTCAAATTTTTAACATTTTTAGTGTGCGCTTGCACAATATAACTTACATTTTTTTTAAATTTAAATAAAAAAATTTTTTTCTACATATTTGGGTAAATTATTATTTTTTAAACATTTATCGTACTAAAAGTTTTTTCTGTTTATACAATAACTCACCAAGTTAGAGTAAGYCAAAATTTGGATTTATGCATAATTCATGTTTGATTAAATTTTCATTTAAAACCACTAGAAATAATAAAATAAGAGCTAAATAATTAAATATTATTTTTAGAGGATGATATATGGATATTTCGTCAATTGTATTAATTAAATGTATGACAAAATATTTATACTGATAATAATAATATTAATATTATAATAAAAAATAAAATKTATTAACTAAATGTATCTTATGAATTGTTTAATTCATTCATAACTTATGGGGAAACCTCCATTATGTTCTAAACATGATTCAAATCGCCTCAAAAATTCAATCAAAGTTTCAGCCTTGAATTAGTCCTCACTTAAAATATCACATGCTACCTGTATTTTGATATTTAAATCATGAAAATYGGCATATAGATCTGTATAAACTACGGTATTCAAATATCCAGAAATATTAATATGTCTTAATATAGTTTCATTTAGTTAATATATTTTATTTTTTAGTATAATATTAATATTACTGTTATCACTTTATCAGTATACATATTTTGCTATACATTTCATTAATACAGTTAACAAAATATWATACATTAAAAATAACGTTTAATTATTTCACACTTATTTTATTATTTCCTGTGGTTTTAAATGAAAATGTTATTATTCACGAATTATGCATAAATCCAAATTTTTGCATACTCTAACTTGGTCAGTTGTATGAACAGAAAAAAACTTTTGATACGAAAAATATTTTTAAAAAAATAATAATCTATCCGAATATGTAGTAAAAAACAGTATTTCTATAAAAAAAAAATGTAAGTTGTGTTGCACTTGCACATGCTCACACCAAAAGTGTTAAAAATTTGAAATTTATCTGAAAACATGTATTTAGGTACTCCCTATCACCTCCCTATCACCTCCCTATCACCCCATTTCAATACAAGGCCACCCACCTGAGATATTTAGTGTTACTTTAAATGGTGATCACACTGTAATACTGTATATTATATAGTAACTATATATAATAATTTATACTACATCATTAGGGGTAGCCATTAACCTTAATTTTGGAGTCGCAATTCACGAAGCTATTTCAAAGTAAGCCACATTGTTAATATATACGTGTTTATAAAATGAAGACACATTTTAATTTTATAATAAATAAAGGAAAATTTATTTTTTAAACTTCACAGAGCATTATTGTTCAACAGGTACACATTATGAAATAAGATTTTACCTTGAGAAATACTTTTTATATTATATTAATTAATTTTACTCTAAGCTTAGTGGCAAGAGCCACATAAGACTCACACAAACTAGTCTCGTTGAGGCTACCCTTGTACTACATGTTAACTTTTATTTCTTGAATTCGATAGTCATTTATACTAATTTTTAATTAATAATATTATATTATTAATTCATTTTAATATTCTTTATATTTTTCTTTTATTTTAAGGAACTTTATATGTAAAAATAATACTTAAATAATGTTGTATTACACTTGTTAGGATGAGTGTTTTAGTTGAATACTGTAATATTATCATTATTACTGACTTATGATACTCAAAACCTAACATTATTATCTAATTTCCTGATGTAAATTTAATTGTGTTAGTAATAAGTTTATTTGGCAATATCAGGGAAAATGTAAGTAATAATCAAAAAAAAGAGTTATAATATAGTGTATGTGTGTTCGAAAGAGGAAATTTATCCTATACAAATATACAATTTTCATATAGGTGCAACTAAATTAGGGGTAGGATGGTAAAAAAAGTACTTAGTGGCAGCTATAACAAAAATTATAAACATGTATGACTGTTTTGGGAAGCCTACATGTTATATGGTATACATTTTATAATTAATACGAGTTTGAGGTGGAGAACACATTCCAACCGTGTGTTGCAGGTTACTTGGGAAAAGTGTTGTGYTTTGTATAGCAAGAAGAGAGCCAGAACACTAGATCCTCCATAAACAAATTACTTACATAGGTAGTTGGATGACATACATCACTACGTTATACACATTTAGAAGGATTATGCAATTTGCTACACATCAAAAATCCGACTGTCAGTTAGGTACCAAAATACTTTTTTATAACTTATATGATGTAATATATAAACTTTCGACTTGGAACTCTTATAATATAAAAATCATAAAAATTGTCTAACTTACCTATATTTCGTTATTAACAAAATACGTATGAATAATGTGTGACTAAATTAGTTTTTTATTAAATTATCTAATTTTGCATGCAAAATTATTAAAACAATATTGTATTGTAAAAATGTCAAAACAAATAAATTTAGATAAAAATGTTTTTATATTTATTTTATTTGGTATATAGGCTAGCAATAATCAAATGGAGAATTATCCCGTGTTGGTCAATCCTGAAGGCCCTTTATATTCAAAAGCAGTAGGCATTCGATTTAAGGTATGGATTTAAATATGTTTATACTTTTTCAATTCTTATATATTTTACAGCAAAATATTGAAATTTAAAAATAATATACTATTATAAATACGGAATAAAAACCTATAATAAACTTAGAGAGATATAACAAACCTGTAAAGGTTACAYAAAGACCCTGACATAGTTTTTGGATCATATTTCCAATATGCAGGTAGCAGGTACCTAAAAGCGTAACGTGYGTATACATAAAAGACAAAATTACCAAATATAAAGGCATTTAGCATTTTAGCATAATTGTGATTTTTAAGATACACAATTATTTACAACCCGTTTCGAGTGTACATTAAATAATGTTGGATCACATGATAGTATSACACAAACATCAATTACTTTACATGTGACTATGTGAGAAATTGTGTTCAATATGAAAAAATTATGCTCTAAGCAAAGACATATTTTATTTGAGTGAGTTAATTGTGTTCTGATCAGCTGATCAGCTAGGAGGCATTGCTATTAAATGGTCTTCAAAGCAAGGTTTATGTTCGAAGCGATAAAAAATGTTTATGTAATAAGTAAATCATAAATGCTTGTTCGATTGGAAAAAAATGCAGTTTTGAAGTGAACACATTTTGTTTAAAGCTAATAAATTTTATTCCTAGCTTCGAACTAAACACGTTCTTGTTTCGAGTATGATTTATTTCATTTCGAACATTTGTTTTTCTCTTTGAGAATAAAGAGTAAACATAATTTCATTGTTTTGAATACAAATCATCTTGCCTCGTGCACAAAAACCTCTCACTTCGAATAAATTAGTTCTTCACTTCTATCAACAATCCCTCGTCGTTTCAAATATGATATTCCCTTACTTTGAATGCATCATTTATTGTATGCAATGAAGTAATGTATTTATTCGCCCAATGTAAATAAAATTGAGTTAAAAAAAGCGGGTAAGTGA